GGTCAGGTGCCAGCCTGATGTCCAGGAGGGCACTGCTGCTGCATGCGGGTCCCCTGTGGGAGAGCAATCCCCAAGAGAGGGAGGAAACTGGAAGGATTTATTCATCAGCCACTTTGCACATAATAATCCTGTAGACTCAGATTAGCGAGAGCCTAGATACAGTAGGGTATACCTGTAAGGTGGCACGCTGTAGGCATTGTGAATCGTGGGGCATTTTTGATGAGACAAATACATTTATTTGTCTATTTCCACTTATTTTGTTATTCTCACTCCAGACTGCAACTACACGGGCTTGTTCCACTAGCAGAGGCAGCCTTTGTGCGGGGTTACCCATGGCCCATGCATGGGGCTCCTGGGTGCACATGGCTTTCTGCAGTTGCCAGGGGGCAGTTGCCCTGTGGGACCCAGGAGCCACTCTGGGGCAACTCCTTAGTTGAGCTTCCACAGCACCCTAGAAAGGGATTTATCTGTAGCATAAGCTCCTCAGAGCCTTCTCAGGCCTAGGCTCTCAAGCCGTCTCTGACAAGCTTGAGCCCTGGATTAGAGGGCATCAGGGACCCAGCAGAATGCAACTGGGCTGTACCCCTCACCTGTCCTTTCATGCTCTGGCACTTCCAGGCCACTTGTTTTCTTGGGTTGGGGTGGTGATGGGAGAGGCGTTTTGCCTGTGTCCTCAGAGCAAAAGAGGCTCCTGAAGATACTGAGCCTGAAAGGTGTCCATAAAGATAATAGGTAGGGCTGGGAGCCCCAGAACCACCTTGGGATGCACCATTGAAAATGGCCCGAGCAGTGGCTCAGCCAAGGGTGGGTGGGAGTGAGAACCAGAATTATGCCTGAATCTGTGGCCTCCAACAGCCATGCTCAAGAGTTTGCCCTACACCACGTGAAAGGGCTGTGTTAGTAGCCCCACTGGTGTTCAGGGATCAGGGCTCCCAACAGTATGAATGGGTAGGGCCTTCTGGCCCACACTAGGCAGCTGGAGAGGTGTCCACTGGCCAGCCGAGTCAGGAATCTGACTCTCCTGGAAGAATCTCATCTAGACCTAGGGTGTTAGATTAGGCACGAACTGTGGGCCTAAGCATGGCCTTGGCCTAGTGGGCAGGAGCAGTGTTCCATGCCAGAAGGGGCATCTGCTGTCTGTCACCTGGGGTGCCCCCTACCAAGACTGCAGTGACCAGAAATCAAAGCCTCATAGTTCTCCTGCCCAGACATCTTCCTTGTTGTGTTTTCCAGTCACCCTTATGAAGTGGCCACAGCCAGTGTGTTCACAGATGAAAGCAGACTGCCCAGGCAGTGCCCCCTGACCCCCCACTGACCCAGCTCTCAGTTCCCCTGGAAAGCTGCCCAGAGCCTCCAGCCAAGGAAATCAGCCCTATCCTCCATACCACCCCCTTGGGGGCCCAGATTCCAAGCCTCTTTCCTCAAGAGCAAGGAGAGGATGTCCCAGTCATTAGGCAGCAGAGAAGGTTTGGTAGCCTGTATCAAGCCCCAGACTCTCAGTCCAGAGTCTGGGACTCCATGAATTATTCCGGTGGTCTGTCTTGGTGACTTCATCTTGCAGCCAGGAGCCCAGGCCACTCTGATGGGCTGGGAGGTTGGCTGAGATGTTCTGGCTGAGATGTTCTGGCTGAGATGCTTGGCACCCCAGTACAGCTTTGAGCGCAAGCCCATTTTTTCTGAGTGCTCTGAGGTTGCCGCTGTGCACCCCCACTGCCCACAGTGTTCCAGGAAGGTGTCGTCCCAGCCAGGAACTGAGAGGGCACTCTGGAGGGAGCGCCGGAGCAGCAGGACAGGCAGGCAGCTGGTCAGCGCCCGAGTCGTAACCCCCCAGGCTGGCCCCAGAGCTGCCTTTCTCTCATCAGTCCCGGCTGCCCCTGCTCCCTGCTGGTCTCACCGCCTGCGATCCTGCTTTGGTCTGTCCTCAGGCCCCCACTGCTGGCTTCGCTCCATCTGCTCCCAGCCTGCCCTCCACTCAGGCACTGTACCTGGCTCTTCTCCTCAGGTCCCGCTCACTCTTCCCTAGCCGTCGCTCTCCCTGAGGCCTCAAGTGTGCCCTCAAGGCCGAGTGTGTGGGGCATGGTCTACCTCTTGCTCGTGCATGAGGCGGTCCCCTGCCTGGTGCCTGCCTCCTCCCTGGCTTTCTCAGGGGCTTCATAGCCCTTCTTGGGCTCAGTGGGGGAGGGCTATCGTGGGACAAGGTAGGGGCTGTACTTTGGCTTCTTCTCCCTTGTGGAGGGTGGGGCATGTCTACCCATCTTGAGGCGGCTGGTACCAGGGTTCTGGCTGCAAGCACAGGCCAGCCCTCCTGCTCCGGCAGATGGTAGAGTTGCGGGCTTGCTGACCACCCTGCCAGCTCCTGACTGCCTGGTGGCTCCACTCCCTTGTGCCAGCTCTCTGGGAGACTAGCTAGCCTCTGGCTACAGGAAACTCCCCAGTGCCTATGGTGTCTGTGGTTTCCTTTGATCTTCCATGGACTCACTGCCCCAATTTATTTGTTCTTCCATCCTTTCTGAAATATGTAGTGTTATGTTATACCTGCCTCTACCTACCTAGCAAGGAAACAGATTAAAAGGGAGCCCTCAGAAAAGGGTGTGTGGGGGGGGGGCTCATGTAAAGGGATCAAACCATGCCCTGAAATGTGATGCATACTGGGCCTTCCCTCGGGAGTGTCCTTGGCAGAAAGCCCCACAGAGTCTGGCCATGGGCGTAGGGACCCTGAGCCGCCCCCCAGAGTAATCACAGACGGGCCTCGCCCCATCGAGAGGCTGCTCAGCCCAGCACTTGGTCAGTGGCTATGGTGGGAGGTGTCTGTGGTGAGAGGCACCCTCTTTGGACCTAGGAGGGAATTCCGGACACACCAGCCCTGCAGTCTAGCAGGGTGGCCAGAGGCTTGGCTGCAGTCCAGCAGGGTGGCCGGAGGGGGCGCCCTTTCCTGGGCCTTGGGTTTCCACCTATACAATGAGCAAGTTCCACCTGCTAGGTGTTCTTGAAAACATCTGTGGTGTGATGGCCAGTGTCCTGGAACCGGGAAAGGAGTGTGGGGGGAGGGCTGTGCGGAGGCTGAGACCAGCAGAGTAGGCCCATGGGAGTGGGCAAAGGAGATGGCTGTAGACCCACCTCAGCGTGCATCTGGATGATTCTCTCTGGGAAGTGTCTTAACTGAGAGTTTCTTTACCTCCCTTCAGTGAGCAGATGGCTCCCCTACCTCCCTCCCTTTCTGGTGGAGCTACAGTGTTAGGCCATCCCTCATAGTCCCAGGTTCACTTCAGCAAGTTTTTTCAACGTAATCATTGGCTCTTTTAGGCACATCCTACCCAGGAATTTTTGCCGCAGGGGGCCCCGCCCGTACCCCACTGACAGGTCTGCAACACCAGTCTGGCCTCCCTGCAGAGGGCCAGTGTGTTTTATCTCTGACACTGCCTTCTTGGTCCCCTTTTCCAGAGAAAGTGGGCCCTTACTATCCAGGAACGGGGTGGGGTGTGCCCAACTGCAGCCTGAGGTCCTGCCAGCCCCTGGTAGTATGCTCACCTCTATGGTGTTGGTGACTTGCCTGTTCACTGGGGAGCCCTACTGAACCTCCATACAGGGCTCACACGCCATCCAGAGCTCTGGAAGAACATCGATTTCTCTATGAGCAGAATTGTCTCCCACCTACCTTAGAAATATCCAGAATTGGGGAAGTAGGCATCTAAAGGCAAAATGCCCTTCTCATACTGGGCACCTCGTCTGTTCTGCCAGCTCTGGTTCAGGGTTCTGAGGACTCAAGCTGAAAAGGACCTGCTCCTGCCAAGGACACACTCCTACTTCCTGACCACCCTAGGGCTGACCTCAAGTGGTCCTGGCAGTCAGAGGAGGGCTGCAAGCTAGGAGGGCTTCAGAGAGGAAGTGACCTCACAGCTGGGCTTGGGAGGATGCAGGAGAGCTGCCCAACTGGTCCCTCATATCCACTGTGAGCTCAGTGACCCAGTAAAGACCTCTGGAACTAGAGTTCAGGTTTTCAGCTGTTCTGGCCTGAACTGCTCAGGACTAGACGTGCCCTGACTCCCTTTTTGAGGCTGCTGGAGCAGCATGGGCACCACAGACAGTCAGTTGGCACTGCTTGGACATCTAACTGTGGGCCCCATGTGGTAGAGGTAGTATCACACTGGTCTACACTGGACACATTTTTCTAGGGTGTTAGTATCTAGGAGCCGGCCAACTCTTTCCAGACTGGGAGGTCCTGTTTCAGAGACGTGATTCCTAATGTCAAGGCACTGCAGCCTTAGGCTTGCCCAGAGGTGTGACCTTCTGTTCACTTGCCATTCATTCCCTCCACCATCCTTTCCTCCATAGTTGACTGCAGTGAAGTAGTTGTAGGGATACAATAAGGAACTAGACCCTGGGACCGCTGATGGGTGAGGGCCCGTGCAGGCCAAACTCAGGGAGATGGGGCTCTCCCTGAGTTGGTGGGGCTCTCCAGAGCTATTCTGGCCCCAGCTCAGCTAGGGTTGAATGGGCAAGATGTAGGGGAAAGGATTCCAGCCAAAGTAAACTACTAGACAAAGGTGGACTTGGGGAGACACTCAGGTATCCTGGGAGAGGTACGTGTTTTCAGCCTAACCCGAGACCTCTGGTGTTCTGGCAGGAAGTGCGGGGAAGTGGTCCCATGCCAGACACTGGCAAGCAGGAAATGCCAGAAGTTCATGGTGGCTACTCATTGTCTTTAGGAATTGTCCTTGTGGCTGAATCGACACCTGTGTGGAGTTGTGTGGGTGCTGGGCTTTTCCCTGACCGTTGCTGCATTAGCTCCAGCAGACCTGCATGCTCCCCATAAGGGATAAATCAAACACGGGCCGTGCAGCCATCCAGAAGAGGAGGGTGTGGACGGTGCGTGTGTGGGGTGCTGCCACTTGGGGGGCATTGTGGGAGTGGCCATACTCCACTCGTCCCTGAAGAGCATCCAGTGAGCTTGTGATGGGGCAGGACACCTCCCCTCACGTGTCCACCCCTCACTCTCACAGGGCATCTGGAGGATCCCCGTGGATGAGATTGACCGGCCGGGCAGCTTCGCCTGGCACATGAACCGCTCCATCGTGCTGCTGCTCAAGGTGCTGGCCCAGCTCCGGGACCACAGCACCCTGCTGAAGGTGTCCTCCATGCTGCAGCGGACCCCGGACCAGGGCAAGTGAGTGCCACCACCCGGCCTGGCACGGCCCAGTCTCCCCAGTGGTCAGGGAGCACAGGCCAGCCTTCCTCTCCAGGGCCCTCTCTGTCCTGGCCTCTAGAACCTAAGTATCACCACCTGTGCTCTGGGTACCTCAGCTGCAGTCTCTCCAATCACTGATAATCTTGACAAACCAACCTTTCCTTCCCTCCTGCTTCTCCCCATCTCGGGGCTCTCAGGTTATGGAGAAAGAGGTGTCCAAGTGATGTCACCCAGGCAGGCCAGAAATAACGAGCTGGACAGTAGGGGCCTGGTTTCAGAGGTGAAGAAGGATCTCTTCCAGAAAGGGTGGGGGGAGGATCCTGGAAGAAACTTGGTCTGGCCCAGCTGGGAGGCTTCAGTAGCTGGGAGGAGTCTCTACCTGGCACCTGGTATGTTGAGCGACCAGCAGGTGTCTTCAGGGCAGGGAGGGGCAAGGACCACCATCTGGGGTGCTGTGCGGCCTGACACTCTGTCATCCTCTCTGGCCACCTGTATGTGCCCACAGGAAGTATCTTCGAGATGCTGACCGGCAGGTCCTGGCACAGCGGGCCTTCATCCTCACCGTGAAGGTCCTGGAGGACACACTGAGTGAGCTCGCAGAGGTACGCCGCCACCACCCCCACTTTCTTTCAGGACCTCCCCAGCCATGTCCTGGTCCCTCAGTCAGGTCCCTGCATTCCCACCTGGGAAGTCGCACTCTCTTGCGTCTCCATGTGGGGAAGACAGCTGCGGACTTGTGATCGGTGATGCCGACAGTAACACTCAAGGCTGCTCCCTGAGCAGCAGGCCCTACCTGGGCTTCCCTGGCAGGGCAAGCTCAGCTGTGCTAAAGCAGCAGCTGGCATTGTTGGCCATTCCCCATCCCCTCACCTTACCCCGGCCTCTGAGAGCACAGTGCACACGAGGCCCTTCACACCCTCTAAGGTAGGTGCAGTCCTTGCCCCACTTCACAGCTGAGCACTGGAGGCTTAGTAGGTCAGGGCACCAGCCTGGCAGGTAGGGAGGTTGGGACCTGAGCGAGGACAGTCCAGCTACAGCGCCCCCCACCCAGGAGCACTAGCCAGACTATGGTACTGTGGCTCATGGCTGCCCCCTCTGGCCTCTGTGTGGAAGACCAGACAGGAGCGCTGGACTCTGCAGCAAGCATACTTGGTAGCCCTTGGCAGGTGGCCCTTGGTAGCCCTATCAGACACCCAGGGGTGCCCTGAGGTTCACATTAGAGGACAGCCATACTCATGGCTCAGGCTATTCTTCTGGATCAGCACCACTCCACAGTCCCATCAACCCCTCTGGAATCCCAAAGATGGGAAAAGCCAGAGTGATGGGCACCCCTGGTGCCTGGAGGTGCTTTGTTGTAGGGGGACACCAAAGATACAGAGTCTTTGACCATCAATTTCCTTGCAGGGGTCAGAGCGCCCAGGATCCAAGGCCTGTGGTGTCCTGGGAGCCAGGATGACCACCGATGTCTCCCACAAGGCCAGCCCTGAAGATGGCCAGGATGGCCTCCCCAACTCCAAGAAGCCCGCTCTGGCTGATGACTCAGGGCCAGGGGCAGAGCCAGGGGGCAGAGTGGGCCCACTCAACCATCGGCCTGTGGATGCAGGGGACAGTACAGAACAGGGTGGGGAGCAGAAGAACAAGGAGAGCCCCCGGGCGGGACCCACAGAGCTCATGGACACAGGTGAGGCTACCTCTCGCCGCTGGGACTTAGAGCGGGCACCAGCCCAGGCGCAAGGCCGCCCCCCTCGGGACCGCGGCCCTGAGAGCCGGCCCACCGAACTGTCCCTGGAGGAACTGAGCATCAGTGCCCGGCAGCAGCCCAGCCTGCTTAGCCCAGCCCAGCCCCTCGCCACTGCCACCACTGCCAGAGGGGGCAGCCACCCAGAGGAGACACCCCCACGGCCCAGCCGCAAGAGGAAGCTCCTGGAGGACACAGAGTCGGGCAAGACGCTTCTGCTGGACGCCTATCGTGTGTGGCAGCAGGGTCAGAAGGGGGTGGCCTATGACCTAGGACGCATTGAAAGGATCATGTCGGAGACCTACATGCTCATCAAGCAGGTGAGTGGCTGTGGGGAGCCTGGGGTGGTGCCCCTATTCTCATGGAGGGTCCTTCTCCGTCCACGAGAACTTGGGATGGGGTGGGGGTTAGTGTCATTCCCATTCCACTCCTGTACTCACTCCGGCGTTTGGGTTGTCTGCAGTGAGCGTGCCACACATTTACAGTCAGAAAACAGAGAGCATAGTGACTTACACTGTTGTAGATGCATTGTAGTTTTTGTCAGTCACTCCATCGTAAGGCTGGGAAGATGTGTGGGGGGAAAAAAATGAGGAAAAACATACTCTTCCAAAAGTTTATGTTCAGTTGACCCCACAGGAAGTAAATCCATAGTGCAGAAATCTTACCAGATCCAGTGGGGAGATGGGGCCTCCGACCGCCGGCGATTTCGAGGTCGGGGTGCCTCAGGCAGCTTCTGCACACACCTCTGTGGCTGGCAGTTAAGGCCGCCGCGCGCTGTGACCAGAGGCTTGCTCACTGTTCTGGTTTTGCCTGCCTTTTTAAAGTGCATTAAGCACAGGACTTTTTCTCTAGTTCAAATGATTTCCAGAGGAAGACGCCCCCAGCACTTCAGTGACAGGCTCAAACAGGGTCACTGTCTCACATTGGCGGTTTCTTCTCAGATTGCATCAGTTTGCAGTGCCTCTCTTGAGAGTGCCTGCTTTATTGATACTTTGCGAGTGTCATCCAATAGTAGCATTTCCTTGTTTTTTGTTGCGGGTTAATTAGAAGAAAAGTATTTGCTTCTTTCCTGGCTGCTGAGGTCAGGCCCTCTCCCATCTTCTGCGGCCCTCCCTGGCCTGGCTGCTCCTGACACTCCAAGCTGTTCTCCTCTCGCCCAACCCACCGTCCAGTGTGACCCTCCTCCTTCCCCCACCTGTTTCTCACCTCCCCATACCTTGGACTCTTGATCTGCAGAGCATGCAGGATTGGACACAGTGCAGGACCATCAAATCAGACTTGCCCACCCACCACCCAGACCTCGTATTCTAGAAGGCCCATCCTGGCTATCGGTCCTGCCAGCCTCAGGCCCTGAGGATGAAATAAAAAGACTGCAGAAATGAACTCGGCCTGGTCAGTCGGGCCCGGAGCAGCCGTCCTAGGGACAGTCCTGGGTGGTGTACATTCACCTGCCCATGCTTCCCAGGCAGGAGTGAGGGGTGTCAGCAGAAGTGGGGTGCTTCGTGGGAGCTGGGCCTTAACACGCTGGACGCTCTCTGACCTCAACATTTCCTTGCTCAGGTGGACGAGGAGGCCGCACTGGAGCAGGCTGTGAAGTTCTGTCAGGTCCACCTTGGGGCCGCTGCCCAAAGACAGGTAAGCCCCACCTAGCCTTGCCAGCCTGCTGTGCAGGGCCTGTCAACTGAGAATCTGGTAGGTCGCAGGCAGGGACTATAACTGTAACCAGCATTTACTAAGGAGAAGGGCCAGAGACCAGGCCATCAGACCCATAGGCAGCCACTGACCTCCAACCCAGGTGGTGCACTGGTACACAGTGCGTGGGGTCTGGGCCTGCCACGAAAGTCTGACTAGGTAAAAAGGCTGGTGCTTGCCACTTGAATAGACGTGGCCTCGTGGCCCCAGGTGTGGCCCATCTGCACCTACCCCAACAGTGTAAGGGAGCAGGCCTTATCCTCACTCCTTTGGCCACTGCCCTGGCCCCCTGGAGAAGTGCAGCATGAAGGAGTTCTGAGACAGGAGCTCAAAGCAGTGGGCGTCTGCCTGTAGTCTGAAGAGCCATACCTCAGAGTGTCCGGACAAACATTGGGCATTGGGCCATCACTGCCACCAAGGCTTGTCTGAGAATTCTACCTTGACCGAGCAGACTGGACCACACAGATGGACCCAGTCCCCTACCTATGGGCCAGAGTCCCTGGAGAGATGTGCCCCACCTCACCAGTCTGTTACTGCCAGAGTTGCCAGAGTTCAGTTCAGCTACCATGTTTCTGTGTGGTCTCCCTGACCCTCACACAGCCTCTCTGCTGTGTGGAACAGGAGGAGCTGCCTGTGGCCCCAGTACAGAGCTCACACCCAGGCCCCTTCTGCCTCCTCCATAAACCCAGGTGGGGCCAGGTGGGCAGTGGCCACCCCACACAGAGGAGAGCGATTTATAATTTGGACTTCTAAAGTGCTTAAGGTAGTAAAATCACACAACTTTCTCTCTGGCCTAGGAGAAAGAAGGGTGCTGAAAAGCCCCTTACTTAGATGAGGAAGTTGCGATCCAGAGATCTCAACACCTGATGGAGGCCTGACTTCTTGGAGGAGCTAGAAAGCTACCTTGGGGGAAGGTGAATAGGTCACAGCTGTCCTGGGCCCACCTTTGCCCAGAACTGGGGAGAAGGTGGTGTGGCACTGCTCTCCCACTCAGGGAGTGTCTGTTTTGCTCCAGGCATGTCCAAAGTGCTGTGCGTGCCTGGAAAGTACTCTGGACATACCTAGAAATTGAGTGCCATCACCTGCTAAGGCCTGCTCCTTCAAGTAAGAACACACACCTACTTTCCCCTACGTCTAGATGGCTGCCCATGAGAAGTAGGTCACCCTGCCTCTGGAGAACCTGGGCTCTTCGCAGACACTCCCCACTGCTGCTCCCACCATGGCAGAGTCACAGGAGCCGCCCTGTACCACATGGAGCTGGGGACGAGGCATCTCAACTAGAACAAATGCCAGAAGAGACTAGGTCACTCGGGGAGCAAACCATGCCCCCAGCACCATGGTGGCCCCCAAAGGGCAAGAGATTCTTTTGCACTCACAGCCTCAGGGAGGGGTTCCACCAGTCGTGGTGTGGGCCAGCTTAGAGAGAGTCTTACTGGGCTCAGAACTGGGGGCCTGAGGCTGTGGCCTCTGCTTCCATAGGCCCTGAGGTGCCCTGTCCCCACTTCAGCATGCCCCTGGGAGGCCACGGTCACCGCACTGTGTAAACACGGTAGGCTTTGGTTTTGGAGTAAGAGTGACCTGGTGGGAGAAGAAACTGGGTGGACAGGGAACCTTGCCAAACCTTGCCTCAGGCCAAAGGTTTGAGGCCCTGGGGCTGCTGAAGAGGCCAAGGCCATAGTGGGAACAAAGAGCCTGCTTAGCCCCGCTGGGGCAGCAGTCTTGAGCCCCGAGCTGACTCTCTCAGTATCACGCTAGCTCCCTAGTGTCTCCCACCATTGGCTCTTGGGAAGTCACAGTCTAGGACCACCTCCATTCTTGCTGTGTCCCCCTCGAGTGCTACAACCCCACACCCTGTTCACGGCTAGAAGCGATCCCATCAGGCACCCAGGAGTAGGAAGGTGAAGCCGGTTGGAGGTCCCCACCACAGGGAGGTCTCTGCCGAGTCCCCACCAGCATGGTCCGGCTGTCCTCCCGAAGAGGATTTCTGGGTTCTCAACAGTGCTGGCACCAGAAGAACCCTAAAAGGCTGCTAGTGGGTCTCATTGGCAGCAGCGGCAGAGGCCCATAGTATGATGCCGTCAAGAGCCAGATTGGCAGTCCCAGCCCAAATAGGGCTTCCCAGCTGCCCTTCCTCACCTTACCTTTGTCCTCACAGGCCACAGGGGATACGCCTACCACCCCAAAGCACCCCAAGGACAGCCGAGAGAACTTCTTCCCTGCAGCAGTGGCCCCCGCAGCCCCCGACCCTGTGCCGCTCGACACTCTCCAACAGCCCAGTGACACCCACACCAGGCCTCGCCCTGTGCCAACTGCCACCACAGCTGTCATCACCTGCCCTCCCTCAGCATCAGCCTCTACCCCAGAACCACCCAAGGACCCTGATCACCCCCAACCACACAGGCCTGAGGCCACTCCCAGCGTGGCTTCTCTGGGCCCAGGTGAGTCCTGTCCTGCCCACCAGGGGTGTGAGGCCTAGCTGTGCTAGAGCTGGGCCAGGTGGCTGCAACCTGGCAGCAAGTCCTGCTTGCATGGAGAATGCATGGTGGTGGCAGAGGGAGACAGGAGTCACGCCGGTCTGGTGACCCCTGAGAAAAAAGGTGTAGAAACCCCGGAGGTAGGTCCTACCGATCTGTTCATCAGCTGCTTGCCCCAGGTAGACACATTCTGTGCTCACCTCTCTCTTAACCTAACCCTCTGTTGTCTCTGTCTCCCTGTCTGTAAAAGTCAAATGAGGGGGTGGGGGAGGGAGAGGGGGTCCTGACCGTGGGCACCATGAGACCTCCCATCTCTGAGCTGCCCCCAGGACCTGCCCGGGAGGCATATGGAAACCAGCAAGGAGGAACAGGGATGATGAGTGATGGAAAGGGACTGGGCAAGGTCCTGAGAGGCTCCGTAGGGGTGGGGGAGAGTGGGGGGGAGCTGGTTCTTCCCAGTGCCCTGGAGGCTGCTGGAAAGAACAGCCCAGGGTCGGAACCAGCAGACGGTGCGGGGCTCTCTTCCAGCCCAGAGCCTGACTAGGCTCTGTCCTACACTTTGAGCACAGCACCAATATTTCCCAAGGCCACATATTTGGTTTGAAGATCATGGAAATGTAGGGACCCTCTGCCCAGTCGGTTGAAGTGTGCTGTTCATGGCTCACTTCCTGCTGGGGCAGCTCCTGCAGTCTTTTGCTCTGAGAGAATTTGCTCCTCTCAGAGCTCAGGACAAAGGGCAGTTGGGAACTACCCATGGTAGCTCCCCCTCCAGGCGACCTTGGTGGTCTTTTTGTTTTCTGGGTACATCTCATCATATCTGTTTCCAGCATACAAGGCACATGATGGAGGTAAGGTTCTACATACAGGATTCAGAGTAATTGGGAGATGGTAAATAAAGCCAGCAACCAAGTAACACAGACCCATACTGGATTTTGGTAGGTGGCGGTGGTTTCAGCGGCAGTGACCAGTGCTGAGCCCATGCCCTGGGCAAGCCCTCACTCCCACCCCTCCCTTCCCCTCAGCCTGTCCTGCCCCCATTACCTTGTAATCACTGAGGACCAGGAGTTCAGGAGCCTCCAGCTATCAGCTGGTCACCCAAGTTCGCTCAAGTCTTATGGAGACTTCTATCCTTTTATAATCTGATCTCCAGAGGGACTGACCATCACTGATGTTGGCCACACACCAGCTTGTACAAAATGAGAAGGTTTCTCAGGGATTGAGTACAGGGGGCAGCCACCTGGTGTCTACTGCCTGCCCTCTCTGCCTACTCACCCAGCCCCCACTCCCATGCATGCCAAATCCTTTTTTTAGTCTCACTGCTACCATATACATTCTTCAGTCTGCAGAGTTGATCCTTTTCTACATTCTTCCCCACAGCTAAACTGAGTGACCTTTTGCTAGGATGTAACTCTGACATGACATTGGAAATCAGAACATATGTGGCCCGGGCCTGGCTGTGAGGCCTTTTCCTTCCTCATGGCCAAGCCCCTAGCAGCCCTCCCACCGTTCCACACCTACTACGTGGAGTGACCTGCCTTTCTTGGGGTACCATGGGACCCCAGAGCCAGTGCCGTCTGGCTGTGTTGGTGTAGATGTCCCCAGTGGTTCCCAGAGCTTTCTGGGGTGGTGTCAGGAAAGCACCAGGAAGGAACCAGGAAGCAAAGGAAGGAACCATCCAACAGGGTCTTAGCTCCCCAGACATGGCAAGGTGATCTGGCAGTGACCCTGCTCCTGATGGATAGTGAGGACAGGATCTGCTTTGTGAAGGCATCCAGTGTGAGAGGGCATACAAGTCGAGCTGAAGCTGGGCGAGAGCAGCGAGGATTGCCCCAGCAAGAGTGGCTCTGTCCGCGGGGAGCAACGCTGCCCTTCCCTGGGGTGTTCCGCGTAGGCCTTGCCACTCCTTCCAGGGGAGGGTGGCCAGCAGCATCCAGCCCTGACTTGTGCCATCTCCCTGACTTTAGACAGGCCTCCTTGGCCACTGGTGAAGACCTCGCCCACCCACTCAAGCTAGGCTCACCAGGGCCCTCGGCCCCTGTGTAGCAGATGCATTCTCCAGGGGAGCTCAGGGTTGACCGAAGGCATCCTGGGAGTCTCCTGTCCTGATCATGTCGCCCCTGGTGCTGTCCCCTCCCCCCACCCTCACTGTTACCTCCTTGTTGGACATCTGCCCGTCACTGGCCAGGACTTGGTTTCATGTACACTCTCTGGCTGCTGAAACAGTGCCAAGGCCCATGTCTTCTGGGGTAGAAGGGGTGGGCAGAGTAGCACAGGAGCTGGAAAGGACATCCCCAGACAGTGAGTCAGCCGGGTGAGGAAAGTGCCTGCCTTAGCTAGTTACCACTTAGCAAATAGGGGTGAGGGTACTGGAGCCTGGCCCAGGGTAGCCAGGGAGAGTTGTCCTCTGGCACAGAACTCCAGGCACCTGCTTCACCACTGACAGAGAACCTGGGCAGGGGGGGAGCAAGGAGTGGTCAGGGAAACCTCAGAAGGCAGGGACCCCCACGCGGGTCTCCCTCTCAGGCTTGCCTGTAACCCTCCCCACAAGATCACCAGGATAGCCATGAGAGTGTCGTGGAAAGTCGGGTATGGGCCAGAGGCATGGGGGTGAAAGGGTTCACCAGAGACAGAGTGGATACCAAGAGCTGGTTTTGTTGTAATACACTGCTAAGCTAGTGAGGGTCCCAGGGCTCTGTTTATACTCCAGGCACCATTGACTGGGTAAGGTGACTAGTCTTGGGCTTGTCCTGACTGAGGATCTGAATTGGCATAGAGGATCAGAGGCTCTTGAGTCCAGGTTTCCATGGCAGTTCCATCCCTCGATCAGTCCAAGCCTCCCAAACTTGCCTCCTGGGCAAGAAATGGGAACTTGGTTTTTTAATTTAGCAATGATACAAGGACAGAGGCGGGACCACCTGGGCCAGACACCCCTGCCCCCCTGCCCTCTCCTCTGGGCAGTCCTTAGAGAAGGAAGAGCCTAGGGAAGGGCAGACAGTGCCTGGAGCAGGAGAGAGCCATCCTGACACCCGGCAGGATGCTGGATGTCAGGCCTTGAATCATCCCCTCCTGTCTGGCCCTCACCGCAGGCCTGTTGTGTAGCTGCCTCAGCCTGGAGGCCACCCTCCCACCCACCCACAGCCTAGCCCCAGGGGGCAGTGCCTCCCAGGGACTGGAGGGCAGCAACCGGAGCCTCCAAGGTGCTAGTGCCTGCCTGCCTCTAGGGGCTGGAGCCTGAGGATGGTGAGCCTGTGGCTGCTTATCAGGAAGGGAAGGAGGGCTCTTGAGGCGGGAAACTTCAGCTCTGTTCCCCGGGAGCTAGAAGCCACTAGGCAGGAGGCCACGGCAGAACTGTTCAGTGGTCCTGTCTTTGTCCCCATCCCAGCAGCTGCCTGGCTTCAAGAGAGTAAGGAGGGACATCTTTACCTTCTAGAGAAGGGGGAGGACACTCCCGCCAGAAGGAACGTGATGGGCACAGTGGGGAAGTGGAAGGGTAGTGGCATGCCAGCCTGCGTGTCCAGAGAGTCTGGGCCAAAATAAGAGGAATGCAGTATCAGGAACAACTAAAAAGACCTGACGCAGCTAGAGGCCAAGGCCAGGATGGAGGCAGGGCTGAAAGGCCTGGGAGGCCGCAGGCCAGTGCTGACTGACGTCCTGGCTGGCTGCCACAGGTACAGCCTTTGCTGCTCGGGCCCAGGCAGGCCTTGGCAGGATTGAGGCCGATTTCTGGCCCTGCCTTGTGCCAGGGAAGGTGTGGCCTGGTGAGAGAGCTTGTTGCCAGCATTCCACTCAATGCACTTGGTCTTAGTAGGGTTGCTTGGTTCTGTTTGCTTATCGCTGCCGTAAGTCAGAGGAGAGCTTACATGATGGGAGCTGGGACCTTGAAAGCGACCCAGGGACCATGAAGACTCAGTGTTACCCCTCGGTCCAGGTCAGGATGGGGAACCATTCCTCCGGGCTCCATGCGAATGATTATCCAGAGGTGCTCCCCCTGGCCACCCCCCAAGCTGCTTAGGTGGTAGTGGAGACCCATCTCAATGAGGGTCCCCTGTTGGAGGTCATAGAAGGAGGGAGGGACGGAGCACCCTATCAGTGGGCTGGATGAGGACTTAACAGAGCTGCCCTGTGTCCCTAGAGAGAGAAGAGCTGACAGCAAGGACAGAGGGGTCCAACTTCCCACCCCAGGAGCCAGGACGCAGTGTGCAGGTGAAGATGGCCCCTGAGGTCCCCCCAGCAGAGCTACACTGCTGGCCAGCAGAGACTGCCCCACGGACAGGCACCGACCCCACCTACAGTCAGGGTAAGTCTAATCAGGGCTAGCCCAGCACTTCTGTTGAGTTTCCCAACGGAGACCCCTCCCTGACCTCAAGGGTAGCCCAGAGCTGGCAGGGTGAGCCCGAAGGGAGGCCATGGGGATGAGGTAGAAAGTAAGACCCACCTGAAGGCTTGGTGAGGGGGGTGTAGAGGGAGGGAAGGGAGAAAGGTCCCAAGAGCCCCTCAGGCCATCGCCAGCTTCACTGAG